CCACAATCCTAATATATACTACTACCCTATGCCTAGGATCAGTATTGTTCGGTTGGTAAAGTTAGCCTTTTTTTTGTATGAATTTCCCACTATAACAAATTATTTCACAGTGAGTATAAATGTCATCATATGGTATACTTCAGTTGTAAAAATTGCAGAGACACTTGCTTAACATTGTACCAGGTGGCAAAATCGTACCAAAATACAGATGTCTAAAATTCCCATTAAAGAACTAGATAGCCTTGCATTGTGTGGTGACTGAGCAATTCCTTTCTATAGCTTGCACAATCTACTGCAAGATGAATGCTGAGAGTTATCAATGTCTTTTGTTACTGGTTGGAATGCGTTAGCCAGGGTGCTGTCCATGCAAGATAACCAGGTTTTTATCTCCAAAGACATAAAAGAGACAGAATCCTTGCATAACATAGTACACTTCCGCTAAAGTTACAAATACCTCTTATATCTGTTTGGAGAATTTGAACATTTGTTGGATGGGCGTAGGTGGTGGAGTATAAACTGTTTTTTCTTTTTTTTTGTTCAGATGATATTTGTTGCAGAACATACAACATGTAATATTGTAATACAGCATACACTACAACATGTTTATTGTAATATAGCATACATTGAGAGATAGTAAATTAAACATGAGATGCCTTACCTTATTTATTTTATTACAGGCACTTATATAGTGTTGTGAATTTATTCAGTGCTTTACATACAATATATTGTACATTCACATCAGTCCCTAACTCTCAAGGAGCTTACAATCTAAGGTCCCTAACTCGCATTCATACATATACTAAGGCAAATTTAGACAGGAACCGATTAACCTACTAGCATGTTTTTGGAGTTTGGGAGGAAACCGGAGTACCTGGAGGAAACCCACATAGGCACAGGGAGAATATTCAAACTCCAGGCAGGTAGTGCCATAGTTTGGATTCAAACCAACAGCCCTAGTGCTGTTAGGCAGGAGTGCTAACCACTTAGCCACTGTGTTGGTGTTTATAAGTAAAGATATAGAAATGTGTTGCTATACTTGCTACTAATCTTATGATACTTTTTGGATGCCAACAGTCAGAGTGTAATATAAAAAAGTGCAATTGTACAATCTAATAATCGTGTTGTATGTAGCTGAACTAGCTAGCCACTGAAAAGGAGAAGGCATGGCATTGCCCATTAGTCTTTTTTTCCAGAAATAAAACTCTGTGCCCATCAGCACTGACAAGGCCAAGTGCTTTTGCGGGAATAGGAAGTTGAAGGCCATTTCATTTATTATTCTCTTAATGAGCACAGTTCTCATGTAAATAATCTAAAAAGGGGGTATTTGGCTGAAAACATGGACACCTGGGGCACAATTCTGTAAACTGTTTTATGAAGACAGATTGGTGCTGTCTGAAGGGCTCGGACAAGCATAATAATTAAAGCCGAATGTTGTCTTTGTCTGACATTTCCTTTTTGCTGCAGTAGAGCCAATGTGACATATTGTGGTAGTAATAGGCTGTGATGGCATATCATGACTTCTTTCTATCCAGAGGCTAGTGCCAGTCCAGCGGGTGAAATGTTTTACCATGAGGTTTAACATAGCCGAGGGTATAATATTCTCCGTACGTTCTCCATGTTTCTGGATTCTTTTTTCCCCAAATAGTTGGAACAAGATTTATTGGATGAGAAGACAAAGTTTGCAATTAGGCTGGGGTCTTCTCCAAGAATTTAAGATGTTTCTTTCAGCAAACAGAAAATGTTAGGGACGTTTTCTGACTAATAAAAGCAGTGTATTTGTTATACAATGCAAAGACCCTATCTAACATCAGGCTAGTTATAAAGTCTTTGTTGGCAAGTGTTTCATTTTCTTATTGTTTCAATTCAGAGGGTTGTTAACGGTCCATTTAGTTATGGTGCTTAGTACCATATGTTTAGGTGGAGGTTACTGAGCCATAAGTGCCTTTTGATAGAAAAACAAAAAGCCATCTTTGATTATTTAACATCATTGTCTGTTGCAGTGACAGGCTAACAGATGTAGATCACATGACCATTACAGCTTTCTATGCTTATCCTGTCAAAACTTTTCTTTGCAAAAATGTTGGAAGTGTTACCAGATGGAGAGAAATACAGATTCCCTGCAATATATGGGGTTTGTTTTATGTTTATACCATCCTCTCTTGGACTTATTTCATTTTATTTATGGCTAGTTATTGGCTAGCTATCTACATAAACAAAACAAGCTTGTCTGTTTTCTCATTTCAGCTGAATGAATTATTTGATTTGAGCATTTGCAGGAACTTTTCCTGTTAATTGCAATAAAAAAGGCATCTGGTCACTTTGAATCAGATACTTTGGTGCATAAACTCCATAAAGTTGCCGTTAATAATGAGTTAATTGCCTTATTTTAGTTGAAAAAAATCCCCAATAAGTTTTGTTTTTGTTGCACTTTAGTTTCTGTTGAGCTTCTCCTCCAACATAGCCACAACTGGTACAAACAGGCTTGTAAATGGCTTATGCAACAACTTACATTAAAGCCTAACCCCGGGTAAACTAAACGATCTTCCTGCAATGGGGCTGTGCATACACTGCAAGTGTTAACTGCTTGTTTCTGTCTAGGGGACATAGACAAACACTATTATTTACCTGATCCTCTGCTCTACACAGGGGCAGTGGATGGTCCCTCTAATCCCTGAATGCTTTAGAGCAAAATTGTACACAGTTCCTATCAAGTTCAAGGGAAAATGTCCAAAAGGAGGCATAGCAATATGACTGTGTGATGTGTCATTTCTTCCCCACATTTTTCCCTTTGCTGGACACTCCTTTCCACTGTGGGAAGGATGTCCTATTTAACCCATTCTCCTGAAATACACCAAATTGCTATAAACCTTTTAACTGGCCACATTTTTTACCTGAAATGGAAACATTCCTACAGTCCTCCCAGAATGTTGAAATGAAAAGAGATCTTTGAAGTAATGTTAACATCACTGTAATAGATATAATAGCTGCTGTTACTGTTTTTGTTGTCTCAAGCCAGCAAGTGTAATGAGCTATATGTGGGTAATGGACCACCTGCTAAGTGGCTCACTCTCTCACCTGGTCTCAATGTCTTCCTTTTTGGCTTTGAATGTTGCTGTTAGACAGTGTACACCTATGCCATACACAGTTTGCAGTACTGTACCATAGTACAGTCACACTTCAGCATGCCAGTGATAGCATCTGACTGTAACTCAAGATAATGGTGTAGTTGTGTCCCAACTGACTAGCACAGAGGACTCTTTCTGAGCAATTTAATAGCTTTTTATTCCTTTTCGAGTTGGAAACAGTTCATCATAAACATGAAGGCTTAGTTGTTACATATATGAATAAACCAAATGTGTAGTCATAGACTTTATATGGACATATAAAAGAAGAACTGAATACCATAAAAGCAACTTTGTTATATACAATTCAAATTTTTATTACATAAAAAATACTGTCCACATAGGGGTTCATAACATGCATAGATTCCAATCAAAGTTCACGTGTTTTGGAAATCCTCCTTCATATATTCCAAAAGAAGGGGCTTTTGATGAGTGTCTTAAAATCTGACTTGGTTCACAAAAATCCACAGGCTGGATTACGCTATACTAATCTTATACTATACTGGGTGTTAAAATGCTGTTTGGTTAGATAGATTTGACAATTAATATACATTATTGGTATTTATTTAACTACTTTATACTTCTTTAATATGAATATTTTCAGGCATTCATTACCATGTGCAGTTTAACACAACATTTATCATTATTGAAAGTGTCTTGATGTAAAATGACCTTGATCTTAGCTTTCACATTGAGCGTTTTTAAAAGATTCCTGAGTATGAGACTGTACAGAGGGCAAGAACATGGCTGTATTGGGAACAAGGGGGAGATCTGATTTTCATGCATCCGTTTGTCACAAACCACGTACACATTTGTTTTCCTGGTGAAAACTCTTTGAATTCTTCTAATCAGTTTTGGATGTTGTCAGCACAGGGCTTTTGATGTCTGATTAGATGATCACACAGGCATCTGGAGCTGGTTAGATTTCAAGTCAATGGTGTACTGCCCTGTTGAACCCCAACTCTTTTGGCCGGTTGGTAAAACAAAAATACAGCAAGTTGGTAAGAATTAAGTCCTGGTTCTTTTTCTTCTAAAAGAATGTAGCTGACTGAAGACTGTCAAATTGCAGAGGTGTATGTTTTCTGTCTGTCAGTCTCAAAATACCAGTGTAACTAGCTAGGGACTCTTGTATAAAGCAAAGTGAAATGTTAACTGCTATTTCTAAATGAGTGCATGACTTGTACGTCAGTAACAGGCAAAATCCTGACAGGTTTTCTGTATAAAATGTCTAAGAATAAATGGGCATAACTACTTAAACAAGCATGCAAGGTTATTCGGTAAGACGTTGCAATGTGCACAGAAGAAATTATAATGTGCAAAATGAAGTAGCCTGTTGCGATTATTTTTCAGTTTACAAGAAGCATACCCTTTAAAGTATGAAAAAAATGGTGCTGTGCTACTTATCCTTAACCACTAGTCTACAGGGCACTTATACTCCCTTACTGCCCATGCCAATTTCCAGCTTTCAGCGCTGTCACAATTTGAATGACAATTACGCGGTCATGCAACACTGTACCCATATGAAAGTTTTATCATTTTTTTGTGACAGATAGAGCTTTATTTTGGTGGTATTTAATCACCTCTGGGTTTTTTATTTTTTCTTCAACCAAAAACCACTGAAAATTTTGAAAAAAAGTTTTTTTCTTCATTTTTGGTATAAAATTTTGTAAATAAGTGATTTTTCTCCTTCACTGATGTGCGCTAATGAGGCTGCAGTGATGGGCACTGATAGGTGGCACTGATGGGCGCTGATGAGGAGGAACTGGTAGGTGGCACTGATGGGCATTGACAGGCATCACTGATGGGCACTGAAAGGCAGCACTGATATATGGCACTGTTAGGTGGCACTGACTGGCACTGTTAGGTGGCACTGACTGGCACTGTTAGGTGCCACTGATAGGCAGCACTGATGGGCACTGATTGGCATTGATAGATGGCACTGACTGGACCTGATGGGTGACACTGAAAGGCAGCTCAGATGGGCACTGATATGTGGCATTGATGTGCACTGGTAGGCACTGATATGTGCCATTGATGTTGACTGATGAGCACTGGCAGGTGGCATGGATGAGCACTGAGAGCTGGCACTGATGGACACTGCCAGGTGGCGCTGCTGGGTCTACACAGATCATCAGGGCACACTGATCATCAGTGCCCTGATGATCAGTGCACATGTCCCCTCCGAGGAATGTCGATTACCGGCTCTCCTCTCCTCACGAGCTGTCAGCGTGACAGCTTGTGAGGAGAGAAATGCCGATAACTGGCATTTCCCTGTTTACATGCGATCAGCTGTGACTGGACACAGCTGATCACATGACCTAACCGACATCTTCCGCTCTTTCTGTGAATTGGTGATCCGCTGTGTCCGAGGGACACAGCGCACCACCAATCGCCGTGCTGCGGGCTCCCGGAGCTGCACATGCGCGGTGAGAATGGGAGGACGTCATATGACATCCTCCCAGAACGAGAGAACCGCGAAACGGGAGGCGGTTAAAGTGAGTTATCAACATAAAGACAAATAAATGATGTGTAAAAAGGTGCTGCACTACTGATACATGAGTGAACAATCGGCATAAAACTATCAAAAAATTAGTGAACAATCAGCATATGACTCATGTGCGCAAAAGAAATTATCTCAACAGATGTGAAACCGCAATAAGTGTCACAAGTGACAACAAAGGTTAACCCCTTCATAGAAAAAACAAACGAGAATTCTCCTGCGCTCCGGGACCCAGACAGGTGGCACAAGATGGAACCAGGCCTGGGGAGAACATCCACCACTGCATAAAAGGCTGTGCAGCTCCAAACCAAGGCTGGGGAAGCCCAATCAGCACTGCAAAATGAAATAAAAAAACAAAAAGCGCACCAGCCTTGCGCATTACCTCAATAACCAAAATTTATTACTTGTAAAAAACATACTCACAAACAGCGAATAAAATCAGGCATGTAAGTCCTCTCAGGGACTTGGAGATAACATGAGTCCCATCAGGGGAATGGGTGTTCAGTACAGCTGACGCGTTTCGAAGGGGGTCCCTTCTTCCTCAGAGCTAACTGAACCATAAGTGCTCCCTCCTATATATACACATACCTCTGGACTAAAACTAGGCCCTCCCTACCGGGTTGGGCAGTCTCAGGATAGTAGGAGGGGCCAGAATCTTGTAAACTGACCATCAAAATTTGCAATGCCATTAGAGAGAAATAACAAATTATAAAATATATAAAAAAAATGCATAAAACACACATACAAAACAAAAAGTAAAAAATAAATAAAAAACACATATATATAAAAAAGACCACATTTTGCACCCACCACTTAGTGTGCATCTAATCCCTCAATTTAACAGTGACATCAAAGGAGATGGTGATCATCAACAATTATAAATAGTTGTCATGTTCCATGTTACATTAATGAACCATGTGTCCTATGGACATTTCATCTAGAGGACTTGTCATAACGCTGGATGGAAATATAGCGATCAATATGACAATAGACATAAATTGTTAATATAGATTGTTCATCAACGGTTATCTATTGGTTAAGTATCCATAGTGACCCAACTGCATGTATATAGATGTATGTACAAGCATATAGACTTAACCACCCACACTCTCAGGCCTTCAGCCCGGAGCTGTGTGTTTTTTGCACCTCCAGGCAGCTGCATGCGTTTCATGATCCGATGGTAGAGGGGATTAGATCAATACTCTTAATCCACATGTATATACATCTACATATATTTACAGACCCACCGACATATCCATCCACACTCTGACCTTCACCCCGAAGCTCTATGTTTTATAATACCAGACGGCCACATGCCTTTCATAATCCGATGATGAGGGGGATTAGATCGACTGCTCTTGGATCCATGATGCTTTGTAGTCAGCTGCAGAGGGAGAACATGAACTTCCCTCATAGCTTGCAGCTTTACCCTGTGTGTGGAACGCACGCTAATGCGCTATACTCGTAACTGCGCATGCGTGAACCAACACGCGCATGCGCAGTAAAAGAAGGAAGGTCCGTCTGCGCGATCACGTACGCCCCCTTCACGCGCATCTGACGGCCACTATGTACGCGTGCGCTAACCCCGCTCTATTGAGTCAGATACCCGACAAGCTACCCCGCCCCCAACCTCTGACGAGGCTCTCCTTAAGGGAAACGACCTATCTGGGGAATCCCCTCTGGCCGGCTTACTATTGTGTGCACCTTCTAAGCAGTCAAAGGAGGTGGTCAGACCGCTCTGATTGAGATCCATCAGACCTGGATTGGCAATGCCTTAGAAGTCTTAGGGACTTGTTAGTTTGCACCAGACTGCTAAAAAACATATATATATAAAAAAAAAAAAAAAAAAAAAAAAACTAAAGAGACCATAAATGTCCTTGTAGTGTGGGCAGTGAGATGAAAAATTCTTCTTGTCAGGGCTAGTACTAGGTAACCACATTCCTTATACTCAGAACATTCGACTGAATGGCGACTGCCTCTCAGGGAGAAATTATACATACGGGGTTTAAACCCAAGTCCATGTTCTATCCACATTGGGTCAAAGGTCATTTTGTACCGACTTTCTATGAGACAGTACTGGCGGACTTTAGGAAAATCTGTAATAGAAATGCATCCCCACGGAGACACTACCTACAACAAGACCCACTAAGAACCTCACTTAAGATCCTTAAAGAGAACAAGGATGTAGTGATTAGGCAAGCAGACAAAGGAGGAGGTCTGGTCATCCAAGACCGTGACACTTATATTTCCGAAGCCTTGAGACTCCTTAATGACCGCCAAACCTATGAAATTTTACCCAATGACCCCACAGTCCAATATCAATCTAAATTTAAATCACTCTTAGAAACAGCACTAAGAGAAGAAATATTAACCAAAGAAGAATTTCTCTTTCTTTTTGTTAAACACCCCACCACTCCATTTTTCTATCACATTCCAAAAGTACACAAGAACAAAGACAATCCCCCTGGGAGACCCATTGTCTCTGGCATAGGTAGCCTGACAAGCAATCTAGGCAGCTATATCGATTACTTTCTAAAAGATATAGTAGTAGTAAATCTTTCATCCTATGTCAAAGACTCCAGTCATATACTGGATATAATGGCAGGGTATAAGTGGGAAGAGGGGTACAGATGGCTTTCTTTGGATGTGGTATCTCTATATACGTCCATCAAACACGAGCATGGTCTTCGAGCCATTCAGCACTTTTTAGCCATAAATTCATCACTCCACTATACACAAATGCAATTTTTATACAACTGCATTGAATTTGCCCTAGAGCATAATAATTTTTCCTTTCTGGACAATCACTATCGTCAGATACAGGGCACCGCTATGGGCGCAAGATTTGCTCCCAGTTATGCAAATATTTTTATGGGCTACTGGGAAAAGAACTATATCTGGACGAATAACCCCTATAGTGCAAACCTTATCCTATATGGAAGGTATATTGATGATATTATCATCATCTGGAATGGTACAGATTCCCAGCTGGATGGGTTCCTTAAACATTGTGGAAACAATCCGTATGATATCACATTCACTCATGTAATTGATGAAGAAAATCTGGTCTTTCTAGACCTTCAATTAAGACATGATATCAACGGCCAGATATGCTCAAAAACATATTTTAAATCTACAGCGGGGAATTCATATTTACACGCCAAGAGCAATCATCATCCGCAATGGATTCGTAATGTTCCCTTCGGACAGTTCTGCAGGCTACAACGTACGTGTACTATGAAAAAAGACTATTTAGAACAAAGTCTGATCCTTAAAAAGAAATTTGAGGAGAAAGGGTATGATGCACAGCTTATTCAAACAGCTTCTAATAAATATCTAGCCCTTTATGATAGCAATCCCATAGATTCTACTGTCGTGGAAGCTGGCGTTAACTCCCAGACTACCACTGACACCTGTAAACATGAACGAAGTACGTTTTTGTACGAGATTTAGTAATAAAGCCTGGGATATCAAACACACTCTGTCGAAAAATTGGAACATTTTAAAAAACGACCCGACTCTAGGTAAGGCACTCCCTGATAAACCTACACTCATTTTCAGGAAGCCTAGGGATCTTAGGAGCATAATAGCGCCTAGTAGAGTACGGAAAAGGAACTACCAGCAGACATCCAACCCAGGTCCATGGTCAGTGCTATTCGACCAAAAGGGCAGCTACAGATGTAGCGTTCCCAATTGTGGCACATGTGGAGTCATATGGCATCGGAAAAAAAGATTTCTTGAGCACAGACGGCAGGCGATTTCCCATCAAACAGTTTATCAACTGTGGGACGTCATTTGTCATCTATGGCTTAATCTGCCCTTGTGGCCTACTTTATGTAGGCCGTACCTCACGGTGTCTTAGGACACGCATCAGCGAGCACAAAAGTAATATAAAATTGGCAAAAGATAAATATTCAGTCCCCCGTCATTTCAAAGAAATACATCAGAGTAATTACGATGGACTGAAAGTCTTTGGAATAGAAGCAATCACAAAGGACTTAGATAGTGGGAGGAGATACCAAGAACTTTGCAGAAGAGAAAGTTTTTGGATCTTCACATTGGGTACTCTGTCTCCTAGAGGCTTAAATGATGACCTGGAGATCCATACTCTCATTTAGTCACCAGGAAGTACCAACACTATTAGGTGTTCTCTACTGTTCCACCCCTATTTCAGTTTGCGATTTAATATATCTAATATATGTACTGTTTCTAGTAATACATATTCTGTTACCAACAGGAATGTTCTGAGTATAAGGAATGTGGTTACCTAGTACTAGCCCTGACAAGAAGAATTTTTCATCTCACTGCCCACACTACAAGGACATTTATGGTCTCTTTAGTTTTTTTTTTTTTTTTTTTTTTTTTTATATATGTTTTTTAGCAGTCTGGTGCAAACTAACAAGTCCCTAAGACTTCTAAGGCATTGCCAATCCAGGTCTGATGGATCTCAATCAGAGCGGTCTGACCACCTCCTTTGACTGCTTAGAAGGTGCACACAATAGTAAGCCGGCCAGAGGGGATTCCCCAGATAGGTCGTTTCCCTTAAGGAGAGCCTCGTCAGAGGTTGGGGGCGGGGTAGCTTGTCGGGTATCTGACTCAATAGAGCGGGGTTAGCGCACGCGTACATAGTGGCCGTCAGATGCGCATGAAGGGGGCGTACGTGATCACGCAGACGGACCTTCCTTCTTTTACTGCGCATGCGCGTGTTGGTTCACGCATGCGCAGTTACGAGTATAGCGCATTAGCGTGCGTTCCACACACAGGGTAAAGCTGCAAGCTATGAGGGAAGTTCATGTTCTCCCTCTGCAGCTGACTACAAAGC